ACAGATTTACTATGTGATAAAAAATTAAATGAATATTTCAAAAAAAATAAAAATTATTTATGAGTTAATTCCATTTATGCTCTTAAATTTATAGGTGACAGTTCACTTTAAGTCTTTTTTTAGTAGAATATCCACGTTTGGTTCTAGTATTATCGTGACATGACCCTTTTTTATCCTTTTATCAACAAAATAGTTTAAATATAGTTAAATACAAGGACATTTTGGTCTTCAATTATGGGTGTTTTAAAAAAAATAAACATAAAAAATATAGCGGTTCAACCTTCTTTGTATAAAAAGGATTGAAATGTCTTTGTATTTAATGATATTTCAATGTTTTTGTTGATGAATGATTAAAAATGGTCATGCCACAATAATATTAGGACCAATAGGGATGTTATAATGAAAAATGACTAAAAGTAGATTGTCACATATAAATCTAGAACCAAAATTGAAATTAACTCTCTCTCTCTCTCTCTCTCTCTCTCTATATATATATATATATATATATATATATATATATATATATATATATATATATATATATATATATATATATATATATATATATATATATATATATATATATATATATATATATATATATATATATATGGTGGGTTCAGGTGCTGGTATAACTTCCAGTGCGGTTAACTCAAAAAGACGCACCTTAAGCATTAAAATGGTTGACCTTAAGTACACAAATAGAGCACCTTAAGCACACAAACAAAGCACCTTAAGAAATATAATACACGCACCTAAAGTTTTAAAATGGCTCACCTTAAGTTTCAACATTTGATGCACCTTAAGCATACAAATCACGCACCTTAAGAAGTAAAACAACCCACTTTAAGAAGGAAAACCACGCACCTAAAGCTTAGCCCAACACACCTTAAGTTTTAACAACTTACTCACCTTAAGCACACAAACCACGTACCTTAAGGACCAAAACTATGCACTTTAAGAAAGAAAACCACACACCTTAAAAAGGAAAACCGCACACCTTAAAATTGACCTATATGCAAAAATTACTAAATTGCCACTGTATTTTTTTTTTTTTAACAATTTTGTTAATCCTGGACGTTGATTTAGACAAGATCCATTTTTTAATTTTAATCGCACAACCGCACTGGACACACCCAACCGCACAGAAGCTGATATATATATATATATATATATATATATATATATATATATATATATGTATATATATATATATATACATACATATATATATATATATATATATATATATATATATATATATATATATATATATATATATGGGAGATCAAGTACAGCCATTATGGTCAATTACATGCCATTAGATTAGATAGATTCAATGAATCACATTAATCAAGATTCTTACAGTATTTTCGTGCACGTTCTCCTACCAGCGAAGTGCAAGGGTAAACTCGTCATAGGGCACCAGAATAGGAAAAATCACATTGTTGTCTTTTATTTGTGTAATTGGTGCATTATTAGCCTTACTCTGGTGTATTTGTAGATTCCCATTGGTGCCAAGTTCAAGTGCGGCAACGCCTTCCCGTGTGGTCAATGTGACCGAACCAATTGTTATACAAATATACACCATCCATGTTATGAAATGCACAGCAAAAAAAATACACAAATTAGGTAAGCATCACCAAAAACGCGCCATTAGATATGAATAAATACACCATACAGTATTCGGAAATACCCTATTGGTGTGTTTCATAGTGTGTTTTATTACACTATTGGTGCATGTTGTCAACACTGTTGGTGTATTTCCAAAACCCGGCCGCTATAAATGGCCGCTATAATTACCATAATACCCCCACTTACCAAAACGCACTAAAATTCTCAAATCCTCAGAATTAGACATTGCTGTTAGATTAAACTGATTCAACGACATATATACGACCACACCGTCACACCTTATGACATGACCACATATGCGCTCTCTTATACATACATATATATATATATATATATATATATATATATATATATATATATATATATATATATATATATAGAGAGAGAGAGAGAGAGAGAGAATAAGGCTCATATGCGACAGTGGCTTTAGGTGCGGTGGTGCGGTCATATCAGCGTCGTCCATTTTGCTTAATCTAACGGCAGCGGCTAATTTCTGAAAATTTAAAGATTTAAGCGCGTCCTGGTAAATATCGATCGCTTGTCAGTATACACCAACAATGTTAACAAAAGACACCAATAGTGTTAGGAAAAAGCACCACAATGAAATGCACAAATACACCAAAAAACAAACAACACACCCAAACAATACACCATATAACTCACCACCCCAATGGTGTATTCTGAACACTGTGTGATGCTTTTAGTCATACCTAGTGGTGAGTTCTGGTGATGCGTATCTAATTTGTGCATGTTTTTTTGGTGTGCATTTTCTAACATGGATGGTGTATATTTGTATAACTATTAGTGTGGTCGCACTGACCGCTCGGGAAGACACCAACACGAATTCTCGAATACACCACAGTAAGGTTAATAATGCACCAATAACGAACATAAAACACACAACACTATAATTTGATATATTCTGGTGCCCAATGACGACTTTAACCTTGCAGTTGCGTACTGTGAGAACGCGCGCAAAAATATCGAAAAAGCCTTGATGAATGTGATTCGTTGGATTTATCTAATCTAATGGCCTACAATTAACCGCACCGCAGCACCTAAGTGCACTGCCGCACTTGAACCTTCATATATATATATATATATATATATATATATATATAGAATAAAGTTCAAATGCGGCGGGGTCTTCCCGTGCGGCGGAATTCCAGAATACACCAACAGTGTTAACAATATGCACCAACAGTGTTAGTAAAACACAACACAATGAAATGCAATAAAACATCACAGAATACACAACAGACTCAAAAAAATACACCATATAACTCACCACTCCCAATAGTGTATTTCTGAACAGTGTATGGTGTTTTTACTCACACCTAATGGTGTGTGTTTGGTGATGCAGGGCTCTGTTTACTCCATTTTTTGTAGTGTATTTTCCTAACGTTGATGGTGCATATTTGTTGAACTATTGGTGTTGCCGCACCGTAAGAAATCGCCGCACCATAAGACACTGCCGCACCTGAACTCGCATATATATATATATATATATATATATATATATATATATATATATATATATATATATATATATATATATATATATATATAAGGGTGATCACATTTGGTCATGTTGTTAAGTGTGGTCATATGGTCAATTATAGGCCATTAGATTAGGTAGATCCAATGAATCATATTAATCAAGATTCTTCCAGTATTTTCGCGCATATTCTCCTACCCAACGAACTGCAAGGGTAAACTCGTCATAAAGCACCAGAATAGGGAAAATCACATTGTTGTGTGTTTTATTACACTATTTGTGTATGTTGTCAACACTGTTGGTGTATTCTGGAACCCAGCCGCTATAAATGGCCACTGTAATTACCATAACACGGGAATACACCATTGGTGTGTTTCACTGTGGTGTATTTTATTACACTATTGGTGCATGTTGTCAACACTGTTGGTGTATTCTGAAACCCGTTCGCTATAAATTGCCACTGTAATTACCATAACACCCCTACTTATCAAAACGGGCGAAAATTCTCAGAATTATCACTGCTGTTGGATTAAACTGATTCAACAACACAGATACGACCACACCGCCACACCTAATAACATGACTATATGTATGTATATATATATATATATATATATATATATATATATATATATATATATATATATATATATATATATATATATATATATATATATATATATATATATATATATATATATATATATATATAGAGAGAGAGACGGGTTCAGGTGCGGTAGTGTCTTACGGTGCGGTTATTTTTTACGGTGCGGCAACACCAATAGTTCACCAAATATGCACCATCAACGTTAGGAAATACACCACACAAAACAGAGTAAACATAGCCCTGCATCACCAAACACACACCATTAGGTGTGAGTAAAAACACCATACACTGTTCGGAAATACACCATTGGGGGTAGTGAGTTATATGGTGTGTTTTTTTGAGTCTGTGGTGTATTTTGTGATGTTTTATTACATTTCATTGGGGTGTGTTTTTATTACACTGTTGGTGCATATTGTTAACACTGTTGGTGTATTCTGGAATTTGACCGCACCGCCGCACCGTAAGACCCCGCCGCATATGAGCGCTCTTCTATATATATATATATATATATATATATATATATATATATATATATATATATATATATATATATATATATATATATATATATATATATATATATATATATATATATATATATATATATAGGCGAGTTCAGGTGCGGCAGTGTCTTACGGTGCGGCAACACCAATAGTTCAACAAATATGCACCATCAACGTTAGAAAAATACACCACAAAAAACAGAGTAAACAGAGCCCTGCATCACCAAACACACACCATTAGTTGTGAGTAAAAACACCATACACTGTTCAGAAATACACCATTGGGGGGTGGTGAGTTATATGGTGTATTTTTTTGAGTCTGTTGTATATTCTGTGATGTTTTATTACATTTCATTGTGGTGTGTTTTTCTTACACTGTTGGTGCATATTGTTAACACTGTTGGTGTATTTTGAAATTCCGCCGCAACGCCCGCCGCATTTGAACTTTATTCTATATATATATATATATATATATATATATATATATATATATATATATATATATATATATATCAAAAAGAAAATTCTGTCAAAGAAAAAAAATACGGAGTATTTCCTAGCTGTAGCAATCTGTCAATCACAGCCCCCAAAAAACCAACCCAGAAAAAAGCCAAACCGGCCTAAAAGTGGACCCCCAAATCTACTTTATTCTCGTTTTGACCCCAAGAAAATTTTCAGAATACACCCAAGTTTTCCATTAACAATTTTTTGGAACTTTTCTTCTTCTTGTCTGCATCTCTCTCTGTAATTTTTTGTTTCTTTAATCAGAGGGGAAACAGTGAAGGGCAAATAAAAAAGGGAAAAAGAAAATTCAAAAGAAAAGCATTTACCAAAATTTCCAGAATTCGAAGGAATGGGCCCCCCCGTTCACCACAATCAAGTACTCTATTTATAAATATCCCCAGATTTTGCCTGTAATTGCATCGTCGTCGTCTTCTATATCTCTTTTGTTTTTCCAGTCAAAACCTAGGACCTCTCCTGCCGATTTTCGATTCAAAGTTTGAATCTTTGTGTATACAAAGGTAAGGTTGTATTCAATCAACCCCTTCATTTCCCATTTCTATCTATCTGGGTTCTTTGTTTGTCGGTATTGATTTTGTTGGATTGGGTTTGAGTTTAATCTTCCATTTCCATTTCCATGGCTGATTCTTATTTTACGATGCAGATCTAATCTGTTTGAAGTTGAAGCCTATAGAATAGATCTGGGATCTGGGATCTGGGATTTCGTATGGTGGTGAAGCAAAAGTGGTTTCTGGTAGATGGCGATGGTAGCTGAGAAGGATCCGGATTCAGATTCGGTTGAGATTCGGGAAGTGTGGGATTATAATCTAGAGCAGGAGTTTGCCCTGATCCGGGAAGTGGTGGATGAGTATCCGTACATCGCCATGGACACGGAGTTCCCCGGCGTGGTTATCCGGCCGGTGGGCAACTTCAAGAACAGCTGCGACTACCATTACCAGACGCTCAAGGACAACGTGGACATGCTGAAGCTCATCCAGCTGGGGCTCACCTTCTCCGACGAGGAAGGGAACCTGCCCAACTGCGGTGGGACCCACAACACCCACTGCATCTGGCAGTTCAACTTCCGGGAGTTCAATCCCAACGAGGATGTGTTCGCCAACGATTCCATAGAGCTGTTGCGCCACAGCGGGATCGACTTCCAGAAGAACATCGAGAAAGGGATCGACGCCAGGCGGTTTGGGGAGCTGCTCATGTCATCCGGTGTGGTGTTGAACGATAATGTTCATTGGGTTACGTTCCACAGTGGCTACGATTTCGGCTATCTTCTCAAGCTCTTGACTTGTCAAATGTTGCCGGATTCGCAGCCTGGGTTCTTTACATTGATCAACGCTTATTTCCCGGTTGTGTATGATATCAAACACTTGATGAAGTTCTGCAATAGCCTCCATGGTGGGTTGAACAAGCTTGCAGAGCTTTTGGAGGTGAAGAGAGTTGGGATTTGCCACCAGGCTGGGTCGGATAGCTTGCTCACGGCTTGCACTTTCAGGAAGTTGAAACAGAGCTTCTTTAGCAGCTCTGTGGAGAAATATGCAGGTGTATTGTATGGTTTAGGTGTTGAATCATCATCATCTTCTTCTTCTTCTTGACAGAATGAACAAGACTAAAAAGTTATTTTATAAAACCTGTGAATACCCACAACACACAAAAAAAAAAAAAAAAAAAAAATTCTTCAGGAGATAATATAATAGGTGTTTGTTTATTGAGGAGGAGAGGAGCTATTATTATTATTATTATTATTATTATTATTATTATTATTATTATTGTGTATGTGGGTTTGATCATTGATGATGCCCCCCCACTTCTTAATTTGTATACTCAGGTTGAAAGAAGTATGTTATTTTATGAAATCTTGCTTCTGTAGCTTTGGTTAATATCTTCACATTTACCATTCAGTTCATTGCTGCTGCAGCTTCTCTGTTAGATCACTACATTTGCCCATGTGTTATGCTTATTAGGTAGAAATAAAATTATTGTTGGTTCTCTTTAGCTGGGTTTGATTGCTGTTAAATGGTTGATTTTAGTCTGCAAGGTTTTTGCTCCATAGATTGGTTTCTGTTTTCCCTCAGTTCTGCAATTAAGATGGGGAAGCACTGTGATGAGGACAGCCAAAGGCTCAAAGATCAACTACAAGTAAGTTGAAGAGCTAAGAAATTGTAAGAAGGCTCAACTACAAGAAGAGCTAAGAAATTGTTAGAAGGCTCAATTACAAGAAGAGCTAAGAAATTGTAAGAAGGCGGGCTCAATTACAAGTTGAAGAGTTAAGAAATTGCAAGAGGTCGTGAATAGATTAATTCATGCAATTTGGGAGAAAGATGGACTTAAAGACAGGATAATTGTATGGAGCATGATTATCATGTACATTTTTAATATATTAAAAATACATTATTTTTGTATTGAAGGTACATTATATAAAATAATGTATCCTTAATATATTAAAAATGTATTTTCAAAAAAATGTACCTTGTGTATATAAATAATGTATCATTAGTATATTAAAAAAATACTTTTTATTTATGGTGCACACAATTGTGTGAACCATGGTCCATGCAATAATAATTGCTCAAGACACCTAATGGGCTTCATAAGGAAGAGACCATATATATATATATATATATATATTTTTTTTTTTTTTTTTTTTGCACCAACTATACAATTTTTTGATATTATCAGATTTTCCAATAGCTTAACTTTGCATTTGGAAGCCCAAACCACTACCATATACACCAATTGTTATGCCATGGACTTGGGTCTACCTTGCAAGGTGAACTCAGATCCTAAACAACGCAGTTTGCATAAGGTGGACCCAAGTCTTAAACAACGTAGTTTGTGCATGTGAAAATAACGGTACCACCAACAGTACTGTTAGTGATACCGTTTTCTCACTCAATGATTTTTTTAAAAAAATTATTGAAAACAACTCAACGAGTGAATATTCAGTTTTGTAATTGTGAATATATAGTTTTTTAATTGTGAATATAGAGTTAAGAAATTGTGAATATAGAATTTAAAAATTGTGAATATAGAGTTTTATAATTGTGAATATTGAGTTCTGTAATTTTGTATATTGAGATTTAAAATTGTGATATAGGAGGAACGGATTGTGAATACAAACGGCAAGTTAACAGGAAGGAAGGAAGCAATTTTTTTTTTTTTTTAAATGGTTCAAATTTCGTGGCTGCCTTGGCAAAAATCAAATGAAGCTGAACTCAAGTCATTAAGGCAAATAAATCCTCATTTAGTATAGTTTTAATGTTATATATTTTTTTTATTTACTTTATTTTAAGTTACATGTTTACGAGGAATGAATGTCATTCATTGCCTTGCCTTGTAATGGAGTCTTTTGATCTCCTGGAGAGTTATGTATATTAGCCTATTTAAAAGCTAAACACAATTAGAATAGAGAAAGATAGATGATCGAAGTTGAATTAAAAAAAAAAATGTTTAGGTATTTTGTTGTCTCTCTTGTGTGTTGAGATATTTTTCTAAACTTATCATATTTTCCAATATTGTAGTGCCATCCATTCCTTATCACCTAAGACCAAGGTCTGACGGAAATATCCTTATAAAAACACAAAAACAATCCCTTTACCAGCCCCAACAATAACCAAATTCTATCTCCAACACTTCAAATCGTAATTGCTGTTCATGCTCTTTTGGTGAGGAAAATATCAGACATTTGGAGGATTCTTTTGCAAATTAAGACTCGAGTTCACGCCAAAGGATCCTCATCACACTGAGAAGAAGAATTAATAGAATATATTGATAAGCCCGTACAAGCTTAGCTTATTGGTTCAATAGACAATATTTGAGAGAAGATATCAAATTTTAAAATTTGGCAGCGGGGATTATGTCCAAAGTGAGCAAATCACTTTTGTGCACTGATATTTGGCTCTTTTTCCTGAGCTACTGAATTACAATAATTTACACCTTTCCACATACTCTGTCAGGTCGGTTGGTAGGTGATACAACCATGACCATGGGACACTGCTATAGTTGTTGTTAGGGAAAATGACATTTTTTCCCCCTAAGTTATATACTTATAGTACTTTTCCTCCCTCAATTATTTAAGTGGCTCTTTTTCCCCCTGAAATGTTAAATGGACATATTTACCCTTAAAATAAATATTTAAAGTAAATATTTCATTTATTTTTATTCTCCAACAAATTATTACTATAATTTGGTTTAAACCAAACAAATACTATAGCAACCAAATCAAAATATTTCAATTACAATTTATAATCAAAACGCGATATTTAGAGTTTATTAAAATCGCGGACCAGAATGGCCGGTTCATGTTCCGAACTGAAAAAATAAAATACATTTATTGTTGAATTTAAACTATTTTAAAATCAAAAATAAAATTTTAAAATAAAGACGGTTCAAAATCGCGAACTGGATCCGGAATCGCCGGTTCACGATTCATGATCCAGTTTTTTTTTTTATTCTTAAATTTAATAAATTGAAATCCAAATATTGGGTTCTAGATCTGAATCATAACTGAAAACTTTTAATTCGATTGCTATAGTGTCTGGTTCAGTTCGAACTGAACCGTGGTAATCGCTACATATACGCAATAATTTGTTGGAGAAGTAAAATAAATAAAATGTTTACTTTAAGGGTAGAAATGTCAATTTAATATATTAGGGGGAAAAACTACCACTTTTAAAATAATTGAGGGGGCTAATGTGTTTACATAAATAATTGAGGGGGAAAAAGTGCTATAAGTATATATAACTTAGGGGGAAAAAGTGCCATTTTCCGTTGTTGTTGTTATTATTATTATTATTATTATTATTATTATTATTATTATTATTATTATTATTATTATTATTATTATTATTATTATTATTATTGTATAGTGGGATAACCACTATTTTAGGCATGTAATAGGTAGTTATACAAGTAGTGGGGTAGTGGATAGTTAAAACAGTGGTGGGTAGTTTCTATGATCCTGCATAAATGCCTACCTATGTATTTGAAGATGGACTGAAGAATATAATGACAATTTCTCTTCTCGTATCTTCCTTTTCTGGAGTTAGGCTATCACTCGAAGCATAGCTATTTGGAGTTGGGCTGTCACTCGAAGCATAGCCATGTCTCTTCCTCTCCCATTTTCTGGAGTTTAGCTCTTGACTTGAAGAAGAGCAACCCATACAACCTCAGGGTTGTATCAATTGGTGCTCTTGAAGATAGTATCAATCCAGAAAAATTATTTCTCGGACAAAAACAAAACAAAAAAAAAAAAAAAAAAAGAAAAACCATAGATAGAGTAACACTCATGCATTTGCATAGCAGCTTCAAGAAGATTTCCGTGCAGTTTCCACAACTATCCAATAATGTTCACTTGGCAGCATTGGGATTCCATTCCAAGAAAATATTTTGCGGCTTGTGGGAAGCGGATGATTGTGCAACCTAGGGAGGAAAGGTGAAGACAAATTGGCATGGCAAATGTGGACGCCGGATGCCGATGCCAATAATAAACTCCAATTTGTACTTAGAATATGATCTACGGTTACTGCACAACGTTGAAGCTGTACATGAGCCCCATGTATATGGAAGCTGTAGAAACGATCCATTGTGTACCATCACCTTGAGGACAAGGTGATTTTGATGGGCATGACAATGATACAACCATGATCATGGGGCACTGCTATAGTTATTATTATTATTATTATTATTATTATTATTATTATTATTATTATTATTGTATCGTGGGATAACCACTATTTTAGGCATGTAATAGGTAGTTATACAAGTAGTGGGGTAGTGGATAGTTAAAAGGGTGGTGGGTAGTTTCTATGATCCTGTATAAATACCTACATATGTATTTAAAGATGGACTGAAGAATATAATGACAATTTCTCTTCTCGTATCTTCCTTTTCTGGAGTTAGGCTATCACTCGAAGCATAACTATTTGGAGTTGGGCTGTCACTCGAAGCACAGCCATGTCTCGAGTGACAGCCCAACTCCCATTGACTATACTTCGAGTGATAGTCTAACTCCCAAATGTCTCCAGACATCCATAAATATATTCTTCATTGATATTTTCTAAATACACATGTAGCTATATATATATACAGGATCATAGAAACTATTCACTATCCCTGTAGCCTACTACTTATATAGCTACCCACTATTCCACTATAAACTAAATCACTAATGACACGTTTGGTTCGCGGAATAGACCTGGAATGACATAACATTCTCAGTAATAAGCCTATTCCACTGTTTGGTAACCACTTGTATTCCCAGGAACAATGTTCCCGGGCATGACCTATTCCCCTTACAGGGGGAATAGCTATTACTAGGGCCCCCCCTGGTATTAACATATTCCTGAGTTCTCAGGAATAGATTTTATGTCTTATTTTCCGTTTTACCCTTTCTCTCTTTCTCTTTGTCTTTGCATCTCTTTCGAGGCTTAAGATTCCTTCTCCGAACAGTCAGAATTGGATCGAAGTTGTTGACTCTTTGGCACCACCACTACATCGGAGGGTGGTCTGAGGTTGTTGTGTTTTTTTTTTTTTTTTTTTTTTTTTTTTTTTTTTGTGTCAATGTCTGCCTTTGTTTTATAATTGATAATTCCATGAAACCAAACCCACCACAGGTAGGACTTTGGTAATGGCATAGGGACAGTGTCCTTGTTTCAACTTCCTAGTCCAGTCTCATTATTACCTTTTTCACCAAAATGGCCTGCTCTCATCTCTCCCCATTCTTGAATGCACAAAGTTTTTTTTGCACAAGTTGCCAAGTATAATACCACACTATATACGACCCATCCCGGACTCCATCTACGGCTTCTGAACGTTGCGAATCGCCGGAGAAGCCATCCATGACTCCATCTGCAGTGACTGAATCGCCGGAGAAGCCATCCGACGGAGACTAAGTCGCATCGCGGACCTTCGCAGGAGCCTGCCAATCACCAAACTGGGGTCGCCGATCACACTGCTGATGTCGCGGGAGATGTTCTCCATCGTCCTTTTCATCATCGTCGTCGCCCTTTTCATCATCGCCACCCTCCATTCGCCGAGACACCGCTAGCTGCGCAACAGATTCCAAGAATTCCGGGACTCTCAGAACGACAGTCTGATTAGCGGGGACAGGTCTCGATGCTTCTCCAACACCATCGATGCTCTCCGATCGTCAATGCAGTGGCTCAGTCGCCAGAAAATCCTCCAACGACGCAAACTGATTCGCGACGCTAGACTTCGCAAATGGCTGCCGACCACCAAACTAACGGTGGAGATTGCCTTGTTGGGGCCTGGGGACGGTTCTGGAGGGTTGGGGATGATCATCGCCGACCTACCTTCATGATCGCCTCAAAGATGCGAGGAAGATGTTCAGATCAGATACATAGATCGCTTGGACGAAGGCTTTGAAGGGTTTTACAATATTATAATAATAATAATAATAATAATAATAATAATAATATATTTTGTACAGCATTTATGTATTTTACACATATATTCCATTTCTATTCTTTAACCAACCAAACGTTGGAATACAATTCCTAAAGTCTATTACTTCAGCTAACCAAACAACATAATACAATTCCTATTCTATTCCTTACTTATTCCATTTCCTATGGAATATCATTCATATTCCCTTCAAATTGATTCCGTGAACCAAACGGGCCATCATAATAATAATAATAATAATAATAATAATAATAATAATAATAATAGTACAACAGCTCTATCGGTTGTATCAGTAGGTATCTTGGAGTTGGGGATTCAACCTTTGAGGAGGGGAATATATAGATAATGATGGTACAAATGCTGCATAAATATGAAGCAGACTTATACTTTGTAATAATCAATTCTGCAAAATGGGAGTATGAAGAACAGATTTGCTTTGATGATTAAACAAGAGAGCAGAAACAGAAGATTGATTTACGTTTAGGATGAATCTGATCTATTTTATTTTAAATAAAGCTATTTTGGATGAATATAATGTTTCTCCTCTTCCTTCATCTACCTACTTCAGAAGCACCTCCTACTCCTCTGCCATGGCCGACAAACACAAGGATACAGCACTAAAATTAACCAAATATTTTTAATCAATCAATCAAAACCTTAAAACTCACAGAAACATTCAATCTTTAATTCTTCATCCAAGCATTTAGAACAAAATATGTTCGTAGACTACAAGAGAATGTTAATGTAAAGGAGCTCACCAACATACCATAGACGTAGAGACAATTGAGAAATACAGAGGACAACAAATCCTTACTTGGTTTTCAATAAAAAATAAAGGCAGAAGTGTCAAATAAGCCCATCTATTATTGCGAAATGTTCAATTTTCACCACGAACTAGATTAAGTGTCAAATAAGTCCATCTACCAACTAAATTTATTCGATTGACTTTTTTTATAGGTTACTAATAGGTTGCCTATTCAATTATATATATATATATATATATATATATATATATATATATATATATATATATATATATATATATAGAAGAGCGCTCATATGCGGCGGGGTCTTAACGTGCGGCGGTGCGGTCAAATTTCAGAATACACCAACAGTGTTAACAATATGCACCAACAGTGTAACAAAAACACACCACAATGAAATGCAATAAAACATCACAAAATACACAACAGACTCAAAAAAATACACCATATAACTCACCACCCCCAATGGTGTATTTCCGAACAGTGTATGATGTTTTTACTCACACCTAATGGTGTGAGTTTGGTGATGCAGGGCTCTGTTTACTCTGTTTTGTGTGGTGTATTTTCCTAACGTTGATAGTGCATATTTGTTGAACTATTGGTGTTGCCGCACCGTAAGAAATAACCGCACCGTAAGACACTGCCGCACCTGAACCCGCCTATATATATATATATATATATATATATATATATATATATATATAACAAAAAAAAAAAAAAGCTTCCACCTCGTACTCCCCGGCCTTAAGATTGGAGAATCACCCAGGCAAAGAGCCGCAATGGTAGTCACTGCTACTCCTAATTTTACATTTTCATATGGAAAACTGGAAAATGAAACATTCTTTCAAATAATGCAAACATAATAAATTCGAAAAACATCAAATCAAATTAAATATAAACAGAGTACCAAACAACGATTCTTCAAGCTTTCACTAACCAGGCAGAAATGAAATTCGCAAAGATAAGCAACGAGCAAACGTCCGCAGATGACACTATATAATTGTGTTATATATATATATATATATATATATATATATATATATATATATATATATATATATATATATATATATATAATTTTTTAATAATTGAATATGCAACCTGTTAGCAACCTGTAAAAAAAGCCAATCGAACAAATTCAGTCGGTAGATGGACTTATTTGATACTTAATTTAATTCATAGTGGGAATTGAGCACTTCGTAGTAGTAGATGGGCCTATTTGACACTTGTGCCAAAAATAAATAAAAAAATCTTTACTTGGGTTAGGTCAAATGGCCTATTATTGCAACTTATATTTTATATGTTAGCACAATTAACTTTTGTTTACAAGAAGCTAATTTTTCAAAATTTTTGGGGTAATTTTATCATTTTTAAATTAAAAAATGTATTTTTTAAAATTCGTTTTATATCCATCAACAATTTTTTTTAGTTTGGAGTAATTTAATAACTTGTATCTAAAAGAAATGATAATAATATGATTAAAATATTATTTTGTTTTGTGTAAAGAACTAAACCCTCATTTATTTTTATTTATTTAGACATATTACAATGGATGGGGTTATAGGAAAGCCTAAATGATCTGATACCTAATTGAATAAAGGTAGAACGGTTAAATAGATCCATGTACTAATATTAATTGTCTATCTAGCATCATGAATTAAAATATGGTTCATTTAGGTCATTATATTCTCAATTATTTTTCATCTAGCATTTTTAAAAAGTGTCTAACAAGTAGCTCATCTAATTTGCTTACATGGAAAAATAAAATAAAAACAAAATGCTGACATGCTATTTTTTTTTCATCTAACTTGCTGTTTTTGTCATTTTTTTTTTTTTTATGTAGAAAAAGTCACACACACACACACACACACACACATTTTCGGATTATGTTGGTTTTTTATATGGCTTGAAAGATTCCAACTCCTCATCTGTTGCGAGTGTTGAGTGTGAAAACACGTAGGGGTATTCTAAGCGGAATGCATCGATGCTGTTGTTAGCATAAATTTGACCTGTAAAATGTATATTTTTGTCGTGGAAGGGTACCCATGGCCGCTTCCCTTGGGGGCATATGACAGTCTCCTTTCTTCCTTGTTTATCTCTTTCTCTTTCCAGTGCTGCACGTTATACCTCATAACGCGAAGTTCCTTAGCTGTTACTTCAGTCAAATTGTAGCTGCAGCCAGTATAACAAGGGATAAGATCACACGTGACAAGGAAGGTGAAGCTCAACTACCAGTTTAGGTAGATAACAATAAAGCGCATTAGAGTAATCTATCAATTAGTGTTTGTTATAACGGTTCATGTCTTTACCCCATGTATATAAACCTTCATGTAAAGCTTTGAACAGTTATGTTGAATAATATCTTCTTCATTCTTCTTTCATCTCACATCTCTCATGTAATCGCTCTGCGTCATGGTATCAGAGCTAAGCTCTTACGCCGCCGCCCTCACAGGCACCGATGAAACCAGTCTAGGAGCTCAACCTGATACTCCGATCATTTAATCGCCGATCCAGACTCCTTCCATGGCGATTCTACAGAGGAACTCGCCATCGCGAACACACAGAAGCCTTAGTGCAGAGGAGCTGGAGAATCCTCCCTGTCTTAGCATCAATGATAGCCCAAGTATAGTGCTCGTCAGTCCACCGCTAGCAGGAAGCTCAAATTATGGAACGTGGAGCATCTCTATGCGGATAGCACTTGAGGTGAAGAACAAGTGGAGCCTCATCGACGGCAGCATCACGCCGCCAAACAGAGACCAGCCTTAGCATGTTGCTTGGAGGCTTAGCAATTTGTTGATATGTTCGTGGCTATTCTAGTCTGTTCAACCTTCCATAGCACAAAGTGTCATGCACTTAGATAAGGCGAAAGATGTATGGGAGGATCTGAGGAGGAGGTTTGTGCAACGTGATGCTCAACGGATCTCTATGCTACAAAGTGAGATCTACGGTCTGAGACAAGGAACGATGAGCGTGAACGAGTGAAAGACTACTACACTAAAAGCCGGACGCTGTGGGAGGAAATGAATACACTCAAACCAATTCTTCACTGCAAATGCGATCCACGGTGCAAATTCGATCTCATTGATCAAATCCGATCAGAACGTGACACTGACCAAGTGATCAGGTTTTTACAAGGCCTTAATGATGATTATAATGGTTTAAAGTCTAACGTGCTTGTGTTAGATCCACTGCCTGAGGTTTATAGAGTCTTTGTTATGGTTGAGAAACTGGAAAGACAAATCACTATGAATAATCTGACCTTAGGCAGCATAGATGTTAGCAATGCTAATGTTGTTGGGAATACTCATGACTCTGATGAACTAGTGGCTACATCTCTGAACTCTTACAAAGGTAAACGAAGTGGTAATGCAAAGGCAAAGTGTACATTCTGTGGAATGACGGGGCACACCGTGGACAAATGCTACAAGAAGCACAGTTATCCCCCGGGATGGAAACCAGAGTTCAAATCAAAAGGCAAGTAGCCTCAAAACACTGCAGCTGTAACACCCCGTGTTACGACCCCTAAACCCAAATTAATTAATTAATTACTCAGCCCAAAAAAGGAGTTAAAATCCACTAATTAGCTAAAAGGAGGTCCACCATCGTCCATGGGCCTTTATCCCTAAAGCCAATCCCTTAGTCCTATAAGAAATAGAATTAGTGAACCCATGCCACTTAGACCCTAATTAGGACTCCTAATTATATAAATAGGGACATAGGAGGCACCTAGAACTCACACCACAAATAATCTCTCACCACACAAGAAGTCCCAAGAATTCCCTTAGGAGAAATCAAGAAAGAAGAAATCTTAAGGAAAGACCCTTCATAGCCAAGGAAATTAATTAAGGCTAAGAGGTAACCCATGTCTCAACAAAACCTATTTTCTTCGCTATAATCTCCTTCCTTGGCCTCCTTCTATATGCTTGTGTCTTGATTAATACCTCTATGCTATTTGTGATATATTCTTGATGATTGATAAGATGATTTGTGTGTATTCTTGATAATCTTGATGATCTTGATGATGAAAAGAGGTTCTTGATATTGATATAATGATTCTTGACAAATCTTGATATTTCTTGATGCTAAAGACAAATTGTGATTTTGATAATTTGGGAGGGATTAGAGCCCTAGGATGGATTGGGAATTTGTGTTGTAATGTTCTTGATATATATATGGGGTGGGAATTCGCATGTTCGAGCGCTGTTTATGTTTAGAAGTCGTGATAGGATGAGTTATACGTGATTCTTGCTTTTGATACATTAATTGACTACGTGGTGTCGTTAATTGCGTTTAAAAGTGTCTAAGCATGGTTTCGGGTTCTACAAAGGATCCCGGGACGAGTTTGTGATGTAAGAGTCAGTGGGGATAGGTGGGTGTAGGGGTACCCGCCACCTACCCGCTGCCCGAAGATCACTGCCGGGCAGCGGGCAGGCGCCGGGCAGGCGTCCGCCCGCCGGCAACCCGCTGCCGCGCAGTGATCTCCGGTGGGTGATCCCCCACCCACCGGCTACCCGCTGGCCCGTTACCCACCCCGGGTCCTCGGCTTCCCCGTTTGATGTTCCCCATTCCCCGTGGTGTCCCAACGGACCCCGTTTGTTGTGCTTGAGTCTAGTTTGATGTTTCGGGTGCCGTTCGTAGGATAAAAGAGTCTTAGGAATTGCATGCTAGTTGAATCGGTAACCTGTTGACCTAGGTGGAAGTCGTATGAACCACTTAGGACTATTCTTAGTATGTGAATGATCACACGTAAGCTTAATTATATGTCTCCCCCTTCCCAATGTGCTATTATGTGCTATTGTGTGTTATGTGATGCATGATTCCCCAACTTGGTTGCGATCAAGTTGGCTATACGGGCAGTTGAATGGGTTGAGAACCATCCCAACTGTTAACCAGGCCGGTTAAGATCGGTTAGGTATATAAATATTATATAGGGCTATGGTCCACTATACGGGCAGTTGAATGGGTTGAGAACCATCCCAACTGTTAACCAGGCTGGTTGAGATCGGTCAGGTATATAAAGATTATATAGGACAACAGGTCCACATGGGCCTCGGTGATATGACCCACCGACCTGGACGCGCCAGGCGGTGTGTAGGGCCAATAAGCCGAGGAAGGCTGTAGTCTACCGACCTGAGTAATCAGGCGGTGTGTAGGGCTACGGCTGGCTGCGATCCACCGAGTGATGGGACAACGGTGTATAGGGCCGTAGTCTCCGAGGATCTTCGCCCACCGACTGAGTCCCTCAGCGGTGTGTAGGGATTGATCCGCTACGGTCTACCGACTGTACGCATCAACGGTGTGTAGGGTCGTAAGTCCCCCCTTGTAAAGTGGATCACGGTCCACCGACTGTGCGCATCAGCGGTGTGTCAGATTGTGGTCCGACGTTGAGTTCGTAAGCGGTCCTCTATGGGTTGGTTGCGATCAACTCCATTCATGCCGTGGTATGAGGTAGGGTGCTGCGGGGCCGTGTTAATGCTATACGCATTAACTCTCATGTTCGGGGCATGCGATTGGTTCCGTGGCGCCAGTGCAGTGTGATTGAGTGTCACAAATGATGATTGAATGATGATTAAATGATGATTAAATGATGGTATGATTGATGTGGATATAGACTGTGACCTTAGCTGCAAATTCTTTATGATGATCCTCCTTAACTATTATTATTGATTGTGTGCTTACCTTGTTTGCTGAGTTCATTCTTGCTTTTAAAACTAGTGTCTCTTAAGTATATATCTTTCTGCTTCAAAATGATTTTCGTATATCTATATATATCTACCTATAATGTATTTCAACCCGTTGGAGTGGGTTACCAGCATCTCTCGCTGAACAGATATATTTGGCTTTCAGGCACAGATGAGTAGACACCGGAGTGCGCTAGAGACCTGAAGCGTAGAGTAGCTAGTTTCCCATTCTTGGCCTGCGTGCCATGCTTATGTACTGACTTTACTTTGAGGATTTTAGTTAGTTTGCCTATGCACCTGAGCTCTCTAACTCAGGTGTGGTATAACACCCCGTACTCTTATGCTTACTTTTGGTATTTAATGAGAATTTACCTTTGTTATATAAGTTTTAAAAGTTTCAAAATTTCGGGGTGTTACAGTTGGTATCAGAGCCTAAGTTTGACCCTAGGATAAGACTTTTAAGACCAAAACCTTAGGACGATAGGCTTAAAACACTAGGAGTCCAGTAAGAATAGGATTTAGGTACCTAAGAACACAGGAATTAGGAATCATAGGACGCGCGGTGAGATTGTGAGACCCCTAAAACTCTCCCTCACTTTATCCCTCATTAATTTAAATAATTCCCCTTCGCTTATCACATCAAGGTAAAGGTACCGCGCTCTAACTCAACATCACTATAAACATTGGCTCTATAGATCAGCAACATGGCACCCAGCAGAATACCATCAAGGACTCCGGAGCCCGCCACACATGACCCCCTGACTCAAACCCTACAGCAACTCACCCAAGTCGCCCAAACACTAAGCGACGTAGCACTCCGCAACAACAGACCACCACCACCTCCACCAAGAATAAACTCAGAAGTCGCCCGACAAGTTTCAAATCATCGACCACCCACGTTCTCGGGAGAAGAAGACCCCGCCATCATCGAAGAATGGATACGGACCTTCGACAAAATTCTAGGGTTGGTAGAATGCCCGAAGAATGTCGTGTAGTGATAACCTCGTTCTACTTCGGACACGAGGCAGACCTTTGGTGGATCCACGAGGGACCCACTTACAGACAAGAACCGGGATTCAACTGGGAAAACCTGAAAGCACGACTGCGAGAACGATTCTACCCAACACACATAAAAACATCTATGCACGAAGAGTTCCCCCACCTAAAACAAGGAACGACTACCGTCATGGAATACCATAAACGATTCCTCGAACTAACACGCTTCGCGCCAGAACTAGTCCCCACAGAATCAACCAAAATAGAAAGGTTTGTATCGGGCCTCAACTTCGAAGCCCGAAAAGCACTAGTAGTAAGCGGGCCCCGGACCCTCAACGAAGCTTACTCCAGTGCCGCCAATCTCTATCGGATCCAACTACTACAACGTGGGGTTCAAGAACAGATTCGAAAAACGAACACAGGAGGTGGGGCACCACCTATGAAAAGAACGAGAATCGACACCAATGCAAGGCCAAGCAACCCAGCTGGACAAAGGCCACCCCCAAGAAATAACGAAACTAATACAGGGGGCTTCCCTTGCCCAAAATGCCACCAAAGCCATAGGGGCAAGGACTGCATGGGGAATCCCTTACGATGCTTCAACTGTGGGAAGGAAGGGCACAAAGCCTTCCACTGCACTCTACCCTCAAATTCACGCCCTATGACCATGGGCCAACGCGGGGGCACGAACAATCAAGGAAATAACGGTGCCCCCGAAAAAGTGTTCGTCATAAGTCGCACGCATGCAGAACTTGAGGACCAAGGCAACCTCGACGAAGAAAACAGGGCCCCAGAAGACGGGGATCACGCAGAACCGCCAGAAGAAAACTCAAAAGATGAGTTCTGTTTAGGATAACCGACAACCCCTTATAGCCACCCTCGTAGTAGAATTTCTTGGTTAGATTAATTACTTCGGAATTATTATAAATAAAAATAATCTTAGCTTAAAGAAAAGGAATTAGACTATTCGCATCAACAACAAGGGGAACCAACCAAATCTTCTATCACTAGAAGACAAAAGAAGGAAAAAGACAAGGAAAACACAATAAAGAATACTAATGTCATTAAGGGGGATTGAACTCTAAACCTCCCAATCATAAGCCCAGGCACTTAACCACTAAGTAATGAGTATTTCTTAAAACCTTAAGGAAACACTTCCTTCTTAAACCCCTACAAATCCCTAAAACCAACAATACCCCAAATCAAAAACCTTTCTTCTTCCTCCAAAACACACAACTACTCTCTCTCTCTCCCTATCCTCCTCTCCATACCGCCGCCCACCACCCAAACAGCACCACCGGCCGTCCCACCAAACAAACCACCGCCAGCAACCGCCGTCCGCCGCCCAGGCCACCGCACTACCGGAGACCTACCATCGAGGACTCGAAACCCACCCGACTGCACCCCGCTGCCACAAAGCCTCCATCACCGCCACTGCCGTACGTCGCCTAGCCTCCTCCCGCCGTCAGCTACTCCACTGGGACGTCACACCACGCCATCGACACCGGAGACGGCAGACCTCGCCGTCCCTCCCGTCGCCGGAAAAACTCGCCGCCGGAAAGACCCGCCGGAAACCCATTGGAAAATACCCCCCGAAGAATCCCAACAATGCCGAAAAATCCCCTCAGAATCCGAACCCCGGAGTGGAGCAACGCCGACTACACCGTGATCGGAGGTAAAGCCCTCGAACCCGACCAATTCTCCCCGGAGTTGGTCGATATGCTTAAGTTTCAAGGACTCTTGGATACGTATCTCACCATCAAAGGGGATACATACCCCGAATTGGTGAAAGAATTCTATCACCATTTGGTAGCTGTCAAGCGGGGTGATAAATTGGAAATCATCGCTAAGGTCCGAGGCAAGGAGATCATACTCTCCGAAGGCCGCTTGGCCAAACTCTTGAGACAGACCACCACGGGTGTGTCAGACTATGACCGGAAGGGGTGGATCGGTACCCAAGACAAAGGGTATAAGGATTACCTCGGGTACCTACTCGGAAAGGAAGAAGGCTTCACCTCGGCCACCCGACCAAACAGGAAATGGCTAACCGCGGAACAAAAGATACTAGTCATGATTGTAACAGATAGCCTGTTACCTACAAATAATAAGAGCAAGGATGTGGGGAGTTTGGAGTGCACGTTTGCTTACCTCCTGAAGCACAAAATCAAGTTCAATCTACTGGCCCTTATGTTGAAACACATGGAGTTTTGCAAGACTAGCAACCGGCTTAGCCTACCTTACGGGATGATCCTAAGTTGGATCATGGAGAAAAGGGAGTGGACCTGAGCCACACCGAGGTCAAAACCGAAAGCGGCATGATTTTCAATGCCCAGAATCTCCGTCGCAATGATATCTACTACGTCGAAGGAGGACAATACATCACCCTCGAGGAGGTTTGCCTTAAACCTGAAGAGGAACGGAGGGAGTTGGTTGATCGACTAGATATCTCCAACAAGAAGTTTAAACGGGCGATGCAAGAATGTGGGGTAAATGGAGAGCAAGAAGAGGATAACGAACCCGAACCATCGGCTCCCACACAAGCAAGGGGAAACCCGGGGGGCCAAAACGAAGAAACCACCAACGAGCGCATCCTCGCACAGCTCACCCGACAGAACCAAATCATGGACGAGGGGTTCTCGGCCCTAATCCACGCAACACGCACCTTAGATCAGAGGGTGGCAGCAATCGAGACCATCCTGGGCACTCGCGGGGCATCCAGCTCGGGAGCAGGAAACCAAGGTAAACCCGAACTTTCCAATCACCACTTCACCAGAAATCCAGTCCACCCCAGCAAAGACAACGCGTGGGGCCACACTTCCTAATCGGGAGGCCAAGTTACGCGACGTCCGGGGGGGTGAAAGAATGGATCCACGCACCGGCTTCGGGGGCGAAGCCTCTTGTAAGGGGGGCGGGGGGGGGGGGGGGGGGGAGAGTGTAACACCCCGAGTTACGACCCCTAAACCCAAATTAATTAATTAATTACTCAGCCCAAAAAGGGAGTTAAAATCCACTAATTAGCTAAAAGGAGGTCCACCATAGTCCATGGGCCTTTATCCCTAAAGCCAATCCCTTAGTCCTATAAGAAATAGAATTAGTGAACCCATGCCACTTAGACCCTAATTAGGACTCCAAATTATATAAATAGGGACATAGGAGGTACCTAGAACTCACACCACAAATAATCTCTCACCACACAAGAAGTCCCAAGAATTCCCTTAGGAGAAATCAAGAAAGAAGAAATCTTAAGGAAAGACCCTTCATAGCCAAGGAAATTAATTAAGGCTAAGAGGTAACCCATGTCTCAACAAAACCTATTTTCTTCGCTATAATCTCCTTCCTTGGCCTCCTTCTATATGCTTGTGTCTTGATTAATACCTCTATGCTATTTGTGATATATTCTTGATGATTGATAAGATGATTTGTGTGTATTCTTGATAATCTTGATGATCTTGATGATGAAAAGAGGTTCTTGATATTGATATAATGATTCTTGACAAATCTTGATATTTCTTGATGCTAAAGACAAATTGTGATTTTGATAATTTGGGAGGGATTAGAGCCCTAGGATGGATTGGGAATTTGTGTTGTAATGTTCTTGATATATATATGGGGTGGGAATTCGCATGTTCGAGCGCTGTTTATGTTTAGAAGTCGTGATAGGATGAGTTATACGTGATTCTTGCTTTTGATACATTAATTGACTACGTGGTGTCGTTAATTGCGTTTAAAATTGTCTAAGCATGGTTTCGGGTTCTACAAAGGATCCCGGGACGAGTTTGTGATGTAAGAGTCAGTGGGGATAGGTGGGTGTAGGGGTACCCGCCACCTACCCGCTGCCCGAAGATCACCGCCGGGCAGCGGGCAGGCGTCCGCCTGCCGGAAACCCGCTGCCGCGCAGTGATCTCCGGCGGGCAGCCGGCGGGTGATCCCCCACCCACCGGCTACCCGCTGGCCCGTTACCCACCCCGGGTCCTCGGCTTCCCCGTTTGATGTTCCCCATTCCCTGTGGTGTCCCAACGGACCCCATTTGTCGTGCTTGAGTCTAGTTTGATGTTTCGGGTGCCGTTCGTAGGATAAAAGAGTCTTAGGAATTGCATGCTAGTTGAATCGGTAACCTGTTGACCTAGGTGGAAGTCGTATGTACCCCTTAGGACTATTCTTAGTATGTGAATGATCACATGTAAGCTTAATTATATGTCTCCCCCTTCCCAATGTGCTATTATGTGCTATTATGTGCTATTGTGTGTTATGTGATGCATGATTCCCCAACTTAGTTGCGATCAAGTTGGCTATACGGGCAGTTGAATGGGCTGAGAACCATCCCAACTGTTAACCAGGCCGGTTAAGATCGGTCAGGTATATAAATATTATATAGGGTTGCGGTCCACTATACGGGTAATTGAATGGGTTGAGAACCATCCCAACTGTTAACCAGGCTGGTTGAGATCGGTCAGGTATATAAAGATTATATAGGACAACAGGTCCACATGGTCCTCGGTGATATGACCCACCGACCTGGACGCGCCAGGCGGTGTGTAGGGCCAATAATCCGAGGAAGGCTGTAGTCCACCGACCTGAGTAATCAGGCGGTGTGTAGGGCCGGCTGGCTGCGATCCACCGAGTGATGGGACAGCGGTGTATAGGGCCGTAGTGTCCGAGGATCTTCGGCTACCGACTGAGTCCCTCAGTAGTGTGTAGGGCTTGATCCGCTACGGTCTACCGACTGTACGCATCAACGGTGTGTAGGGTCGTAAGTCCCCCCTTGTAAAGGGGATCACGGTCCACCGACTGTGCGCATCAGTGGTGTGTCAGACTGTGGTCCGATGTTGAGTTCGTCAGCGGTCCTCTATGGGTTGGTTGCGATCAACTCCCTTCAAGCCGTGGTATGAGGTAGGGTGTTGCGGGGCCGTGTTAATGCTATACGCATTAACCCTCATGTTCGGGGCATGCGATTGGTCCCGTGGCGCCAGTGCAGTGTGAATGAGTGTCACAAATGATGATTGAATGATGGTTAAATGATGATTAAATGATGGTATGATTGATGTGGATATGGACTGTGACCTTAGCTGCAAATTCTTTATGATGATCCTCCTTAACTATTATTATTGATTGTGTGCTTACCTTGTTTGCTGAGTTCATTCATGCTTTTAAAACTAGTATCTCTTAAGTATATATGTTCCTGCTTCAAAATGATTTTCGTATATCTATATATATCTACCTATAATGTATTTCAACGCGTTGCAGTGGGTTACCAGCATCTCTCGCTGAACAGATATATTTGGCTTTCAGGCACAAATGAGTAGCCACCGGAGCGCGCTAGAGACCTGAAGCGTAGAGTAGCTAGTTTCCCCTTCTCGGCCTACGTGCCATGCTTATGTACTGACTTTACTTTGAGGATTTTAGTTAGTTTGCCTATGCACCTGAGCTCTCTAACTCAGGTGTGGCATAACACCCCGTACTCTTATGCTTACTTTTGGTATTTAATGAGAATTTACCTTTGTTATATAAGTTTTAAAAGTTTCAAAATTTTGGGGTGTTACAGCAGCAGTGATAGGGGATCTGGGAATAAGTTCAGAACAAATGCAGAAGATTATTTCTATTTTTCACCCTCAAGCCAACCAGTCTCCAAGCTCAAATACCAGTGTTGCTGTGTCCCTAGTTCCCAACTTTAAAGAGATGCAATCTGATAACAAAGGCAATTACCCTATCACTCTTGTCAATTCCTTCTCTATGTGTGAATCTTCTTGGATTCTTGATTCAGGGGCAACGAACCATATAGTCTGTTCCATGAATTTTTTTGTTGATCATCGTGAGGCAACTAGAACCAAAGTCAATTTACCCACTAGCGAAATCATTGAGGTCCAACACATAGGGAATTGTAAAGCTAAATGATAATATGTGGCTCAAAGAAGCTTTACACATCCCTTCATTTAAATTCAATATCATCTCAGTCAGCAAGCTTATACAAGATACAAACTGGAATTTGATTTTTATGCCTGGCCAGTGTCTAATTCAGGAGAAGAATGGAGTGATGGGTGGTATAGCTAAAGAGGACAGAGGACTATATCTTCTAATGAAGTCACCTAGGCTGCACTTTGTATCTCAATGTACTGGGAGTGAATTGTGGCACCAAAGATTGGGTCACTTCCCTATCAATAAACTACATTTGTTGAAAAATATTGATATTTCTGTTAATAAGAGTATATCATGTGATATATGTCACTTAGCAAAACACAAGCATTCTCCCTTCCCGTTGAGCACTACATCTTCCAAAGCATATCTTGATCTCATACACATTGATATATGGGGGCCATTTCCAATAGTCGTTGAAAGGGGAACGATACTTCCTAACAATAGTTGATGATTTCTCCATATTCACCTGGATTCATCTAATGCAGAATAAATCAGAAGCAATGCAGCTTGTAAATAAGTTTCATTCCTTTGTCCTCTCTCAATTCGGAGTCCTAATCAAGGTTATTCGAGGTGATAATGGCTCCGAATTCAACATGACAGATTTTTTCTCAGAAAAGGGAGTTATCCATCAGCGGTCTTGTGTGCACACCCCGCAGCAGAACGCCATTGTTGAGCGAAAACATTAGTACATTCTTAATGTTGCAAGATATTTCAAGCTCACTTGCCGTTGAAATTCTGGGGACACTGCATTATGCATGCCACATACATAATAAACAGGTTACTGTAACACCCCTAATTTTAAGGACAATTTAAAGCAATTCAAACTTAAGAAATAAGGCAAACTAACCATAAGGATTATAAAAATGCGGAAGCTAAATAGACAGTATAGGGTGTTATGCCACATCTAAGCAGCATACTTAGATGCACAGGCTAATCAACAATCTAAACCAAAACCATCATAACATTCACATGTCTAAAGTTTAAGGCACGCAGGACACAATGTCTAGACTAAGAGAGGAAGGTAGGCTACGCTAAAAACGTTCCCATCTATCGCGCTCAAGGAAGAACTACTCTGTACCTGAAAAACATTAAGGGGTAGCACCCGTTAGCGAATAATGCTAAGTAACCCACTCCAACGCGTTAAGTACCATATAATATATGTATAAGAAAATCATTTGAGACTTGGAATACATAGATATAGTCTTAGAAACACTAGCTTTAAAACGAGAGATAGACACATCATTAGACTCATCAAGAGATTCATTCAGCCATACCGAACAACAACGGTTAAGCAATAGAATCACTACAAGAAGACAATGATACAGATTCAATGATAATCAACGATAAGTTATTCAATAGACAATCATCAAAGTCACATATAAAGAGATTCTCATAAGCAATGAATTTCAAGAAACATTATCAATGATCAAGATCCACATTCCAACCTTATACCAAGTTCCAACCTTTACACCGCTCCATCCTTATTTCAGTTTCAACTTGTACCTCCGGGCCACCCTGTACAACCAGTCCAACCTTATTCCTCTGGAAACTATGCTCCCCGCCAGCTTGCCGCCGATCTCATAAGTATAATCATTTAACATATCACGTGATAGTTACCGCCAATCATTTTGAGCAAAGCTCATTACCGCCAATCTCATAACAATCATATCACATGGTCACATAATCATCGACATAGATGATTGAGGCTCAACAATAGCCCAATCAAGGAACAATCATGATAGAGTGAAATATTTGTACAAGCTTACAAAGATAGATTCAATCGAAGGACTTCAAGAAGAGACATAAAGAAACATTTCAAGATAATAACACGATAACGAAAGGCTTCCAAATCAAAGGATCACAACGATTGGTAACACAAGTCACCAATCCTCATCAAGAATAGGCAAGATTAATACGAGATAAACACATACTAGTACCAACGAACAACATAGCTAGCACGCAATTCAATCAAGATAATCAACAAGGCTTATACGAACAACATTTACTTCATATCAATCCAATGAATCACAAGATTGGATCATAAACACGATTCAAGACTCACAAGTCCTATTTCGGTACTTAAGACATCGTTCTAGACTTACGAAACATTAATCGAGTGGGCGGTACGGTGGGTTGTCAACCACCCACCATACCCCCCCACCATGTACTCAGTTGGTGGTACCACGGGTGGTCAACCACCCGTGATCCTCCCCGCCACAACACACACGTACTCAGCGGGTGGAACGGCGGGAGGCACACTGCCCGCCGTTCTGCCCGCGGGTACCATCCTGGGAGAGAAAATCCCTTCGGGGAAATTTGCCAAAATGCTCAAGTTCAAGTCCAAAACACCTCAAAACTCATACTCATTAACAAAGGAACTTGAACACATAGAATAGCTCAAAGAATAGCATTTATGAACCCTAAATACAAGTTCTAACATGCATAAACACAAGATTATGCACAATTTCATTCAAGAACATCAAGAACATAAAAAAATCATCAAGAAATCATCATAGCAAGTATAAAGTAGGTTTTGTAGGAGATGGGTTACCACTTGTAGCCTAAGGAACACTTCCTCCACTCCTAAACTTCCTCTTGAAAGTTTTCTTCCACAAGATCTTCCAAACACAAGCCAAAACCCAACCAAAACAACAAAACTTAGATAAAGATAAGGAAAGACTAAGTAATAACACTAACAAAGTTTAGGACTTACCCTTCCTATGGTTTTGGTGGATGAAAGTTTGGATCTTGATGGGTTTCCTTGCAAGATTGGGGAGGGTTTTAGGTTAGCTTGGGGAAAAAGCTAAGGTTTAGGAAGAAGGTAGAGAGAAGTGAATTTCTTGCCTAATGTGGGAAATACAAGAGTAGTGGTGCTAGGGAAATATCTTGGATGTCAAGTAAAAGTTGGGAAAAGACTAAAATAGCCTCCCTTATCCACAAAATTGTTAGGACGAAATCAAAGGCTAGGTACAAAGCATAAATCACAATGTCTTTTCCATTGACTAAGAGACTTAGTCAATTTAGGTCCTTCAACTATTTTTAACAAGGAAACTGGAAAGGAATTTGTAAGGCAAATTTAGAATTAATTAGATATTTAATTCCGTTTAAAGGATAATTTTCCGGGGTGTCACAGTTACCCTCACCTGTTATTGAAGGCATGAATCCCTATCAGAAGCTATATAACAAGGATACTGACATTAGCAGCCTAAAAGTTTTTGGTTGTCTTTGTTATGCTGCCACGATAACCCATGCAAGGCATAAGATGGCTCCGAGAGGAAGAAAGTGTATATTCATTGGTGTTCCGGCTGACATTAAAGGCTATCTTCTCTATGATATAGAAGAGCAACCCACATTGGTTTCACAAGACGTGATTGTAACACCCCTAATTTTTAAAACATTTAAAGCTTATGAAATAAAGGCGAATCTATCATTAATTACCCAAACAGAGGAGAAACTAACATTGTAAGAGTCGGGGTGCTATGCCACATCGAGGTTTGAGAACCTAGATGCACAGGCTAAACTAACTAAACAAGTAAAATCCACAAATCAGTATTCAAATACAATTCAAGGCACACAGACCATCTAACTAATACTAGAACTATCTAAGCTAAATCCACGAGTATAACTAGCGCGCTCCGAAGCTACTGATCAGCACCTGAAAAACATATGGTGTAACAACCATCAGCGAATAATGCTGAGTAACCCACTCCCACGCATTGAGTATAATATATGTAGATATAAGAAATCATTTTGAGACTGGAATACATATGTAATCCCAAGCAACCGTAGCTTTAAAACCAAGATCAAGACTCGAGACACAACAACAGACTGAACACCGTAAAACAACATAAGGATACTAGCATGCAACCTAAAACAATAAGATAGGATAGTAAAAAGGCTCAGCAACAAACAAGACAGTAATAAGGCTCTACAACAATAACAGACAATAACAACACACATGTCCATGTTCCAACCTTATACCAAGTTCCAACCTTTACTCCTCTCCATCCTTATATCAGTTCCAACCTGTACCTCTAGGCCACCCTTATATCGCCTCCCTTATTCATCCGGAGCATGCATGCTCCCCACCGACATACCACCAACAAAACGACCGATCTGATAGCACCACAGTACCATTAACACATGATCTGTGCCTATAGCACAATAATCAAGGGGTCATGCCTATAGCACAATGACATGGCACCGCAACGCTAATAACTTGATCTGTGCCTTTAGCACACTAATCAAGGGAGGTCTGTGCTTATAGCACAATGACCGAGCACTCGTTGTGCTAAACCGCCAACAAATCTTTTCCACCAATCACATCTCTTTTCTCATCATGGTCAAATCAATCACAACAACCAATGCTCAATGATAACAGCAACCATCAACATTCAATCAACAACAGTAGTCAATTCTCAATAACAACAACAATCAAAACTCAACAATAACCACTGCACACAACTCCTAAAATGGTACCCGAAACATCACACGAGACTCATAAACACTAAACGGGGAACGAGGAAACAACGAGCGGGGTAAAATGGCACAATACACCGCCCGTACCAGCGGGTGGTACGGCGGGTGGTCAACCACCCGTCGTCCACCCGCCGGTGGGCGGTCCTGTACCAGCGGGTACACGGCGGGTAGTCGTTTACCCGCCGGCCACCCGCTGGTACGGGGGACGGGTACTGGAGGGTGGTTAGGTGGGGACTCGTCCCCCCATCGACCCCCCGCTAGTACGATGTTAACTTGGCACTTTCCAAACTCGGAAATTCCTCAATTACACCCAAAATCAAATCCAAATACATCCCAACACATACAAAAACAATAGGGACTTGATCACCAAGAGTTAGGCCAAGGAACCAACACAATTAACCCCAAATACAAGCACTAATCATGCCAAGAATCAATAATAAATACACAACGATTCAATATCATCAAGAACCTCAAGAACTCGATCATACCAAGCTTTAACGACAAACCCTAAACCTAGAAGAACACCCGAACATGTATAAACCTACCCAAGAACGCCAAGAACGTATCCAATAACAAGATTCACTGAATAAATCCTTGGGATAAGCTTTAAACACAATTAAATACAAAAACGTACCAAGACCACACAGGGACACCACGAGTATCAAGAATAACAAGAATCCATATCACAAATTCCTAAAGACAAGCTCTAACAAGGCACAGATACAAAATCATACATTCAATCGTTCAACGGAGCCAATCAATAAACAATAGCAAGGAAAATAGGTTTTGTAAGACACGAGTTACCTCTTAGCTTTAATCAATTTTCCCTTGGCTACTAAGGTCCTTTTCTAAGATTCTCCTTCATTTGATTCTCCTAGGCTTGGTGGTGGGGAGTTCCTTGGCTAGGATTCTTTGAGGAATTTCGTGTATTAGGGTTATGGGAGGGGAGAGAGATTCTAAATGCTTTCTAATCCCTTATTTATATATTTAAGAAAACCTATTTGAGATCTGAATGGTAAGACCCACTTTCTTTATTCCTAACAGGCTTAAGGCTCTCGTTTAGGAAATGGTCCGCGATCCATTGTGGACCATATTAATTAATTAAGGGAATCCTAACCAAATTAAATCCTTTCTAACTATGGTTAACGGGATTAATTTAATAATCAATCCAGGTTTGAAGGCCGTAACACGGGGTGTTACAATGATA